TCCAAAACTTTTTTCTTTTTTTTCAACAAAATTTTTTATAACCTCCCCCCTCTCATTCTCCTTTTAAAATTTTCTTCCCCACTCCTTAACTTCCTCTTTTTTCCATAACCTTCCCCCCTTCAAACACTTTTACTTTGTAAAAAATCTCATATGCTAACTTTTCTCCCTTTCTACTCTCTTTTACATCATCATTCCACCAATTGCCCTCTTCCCTCCCCCGCACCCACTTTCCTTAACCACAAACTCTGCTGAACCTCTAACACACTTTTTTTAAAAACCCACCCCTACCTCTTTGCCCCATTGCCTTGCTCTCATTTGCCCTCATCCTCCAATAGCTGTTTATATCTTACCCTAACTGCCTCCTCTTTTTTGTTTATAAACCTTTTCCTCTCTCCCCTGATGCTTCTATTTTCCTTTTATCCCATCTACCTTTTTCTCTCATTGTAGCTACAACTAGAAAGTGATCTGATATATCTGTGGCCCCTCTATAAACATGTACATCCTGAAGTCTACTCAACAGTCTTTATCTACCAATACATAATCCAACAAACTACTGTCATTTCGCCCTACATCATATCGTGTATACTTATTTATCCTCTTTTCTTAAATATGTATTACCTATAACTAAACCCCTTTCTATACAAAGTTCAATCAAGGGCTCCCATTATCATTTACACCTGGCACCCCAAACTTACCTACCACACCCTCTCTAAAAGTTTCTCCTACTTTAGCATTCAAGTCCCCTACCACAATTACTCTCTCACTTGGTTCAAAGGCTCCTATACATTCCACTTAACATCTCCCAAAATCTCTCTCTCTCCTCTGCATTCCTCTCTTCTCCAGGTGCATACACGCTTATTATGACCCACTTCTCGCATCCAACCTTACTTTAATCCACATAATTCTTGAATTTACACATTCATATTCTCTTTTCTCCTTCCATAACTGATCATTTAACATTACTGCTAACCCCTTCCTTTGCTCTAACTCTCTCAGATACTCCAGATTTAATCCCATTTATTTTCCCCCCACTGAAACTCTCCTACCCCCTTCAGCTTTGTTTTCGCTTAGGGCCAGACATCCAACTTCTTTTCATTCATAACATCAGCAATCATCTGTTTCTTGTCATCCGCACTACATCCACGCACATTTAAGCAACCCAGTTTTATAAAGTTTTTCTTCTTCTCTTTTTTAGTAATTGTATACAGGAGAAGGGGTTACTACCCATTGCTCCCGCATTTTTAGTCGCCTCATACGACACGCATGGCTTACGAGGAAAGATTCTTTTCCACTTCCCCATGGACAATAGAAGAAAATAAAAAGAACAAGAGCTATTTAGAAAAAGGAGAAAAACCTAGATGTATGTATATATATATATATGCATGTGCGTGTCTATGAAGTGTGACCAAAGTGTAAGTAGGAGTAGCAAGATATCCCTGTTATCTTAGCGTGTTTTATGAGACAGAAAAGAAACCAGCAATCCTACCATCATGCAAAACAGTTTACAGGTTTTGTTTCACAGTCATCTGGCGGGACGGTAGTACTTCCCTGGGTGGTTGCTGTCTACCAACCTACTACCTATTATAAAGCAATCGTAATAAACATTTATTTACATTGTTTGTTTGTGTAAACAAGTTTTAGCAACATTATAATGATACGAGTGTTTTTGCTATAATTGGGGTTACATTCAACGAGTGTATATTTGAACATTGCACAATAATTTGGTCTCACAGGCCACAAAAGTTATGTGAAAAAATAAAATAGTGAAAAAAACAAGAAACCATCGAATACAAGTAAATAAAAGTTTACCGGGTGAGCGGCAGTCGCCGCTGTTGCCGCCAGCAGATCAATTTCAGCAAACTTCAGGACTCTATATCTCGGTAAGTACTGATGGGAAAAATTTTTTTTGGACTAAAACAATCAGAAAAAATAATCTTAACATTTTCGTAAGAAAAAATAATTTTTTTTTTTTTCGAATATTTTGCGACACCAGAAGCAACTTCAGGATTTGGCCCTTCGACAGTCAAGGGGTTAATCCACACAGTGTGTTACAAGTAAAATGTTAATATACTGAGTAAATATAATGACAGGTGGATGATGGAATTTAATGTTAAAAATACCATGTAATGAAAATGGTAGAAAGCAAAATTAGACCACAAAGAAATACATTGACAGAATTTTGTAAATATCATACAGAGAAAGGAATCTAGGAGTTAATAGTACTATAAAAAAATTGCTCCTATATTATGTATATGAAATTGTAAAAAATGTACTACCCTGGCTAAGTATAAAATAGCTTTCAAATATAGGTATTAAGAAATGTTGAAAAACTGTTTACAATACATATTAGGTCAAAACTGAAATATACAGCTGCTGTAAAGGTGTCCCCACTGAATGACATGTGTTAATTGAACAGAAGGTCTAAAGCAGAATTACAAAATGGATCCCTTAGCTAAAAAAATAGGAATCACGATGAAAAACTGAAACTCTAAAGATGCCCACAAATGGCTGATAAGAGGAAAAGAATAACAACATCTAAAGTCACAAAAAGTTATGAAGGACAGATAAAGAAGTTCTTAGTACTTTACCTTCAACAGGGATAATAAAAAAGCCACAGACATAAATTATGAAAACAGAATCTTAAGGGTTACCGGGAAATTTTTCTTTATAAATAGTAATGAAAGAATGGAATAAATTGAAAGAAGAGTAATAAGTACTGTACTACAAAATTGAAAAAAATATATAAAATAAGTAATAAGTACTCTCTACAACAATTGAAAATTAAAAAAAATACAGTGAACATATTAATGAAGATGGACACAAAGAGCTAGCTCTGCTACTGTAGGAAACCAATAGGTAATTACAAAATAGGTAATTAAAGTAGAATCCTCAAATATCCAAAAACATAAAGAAAAAACTACGACAATTTTCAGTGTAACTATTTAATGGTCCATTTTGACCAAAACATCATTATATTTTTTTTATCTTATGTGTGGGTTATTTATGTATTGCTCCAGTCATGGTATTGTGCCTTTTTATTAATTACAGAGAACCTTGGTTAAGACACGATCTGACAACATTTTTTTCTGTTAACACTGAAAAAAATGTAGTATTCTTTCAGTGAGCATGAAATAATTTTTGGTTAGACAGCAAAATTTAGAGGAAAATATGCCACACTGGGGGATCTTTCCCTTTAAACCAGCACATGGATGAGGCCACGGGTCATTAGGGGGAGACTCAGTCTCACACTGTGTGTATGTATACTAACCATACCCATTTATGTGTTAATAAACTGACTGTTAAATTTATCATCAGCCCATCTTGTCTCTGGATAGTAACCATGGAACCAAGTGATGCTGAAAGTGACAAGTCTTAGTGTTTGGAAAATAAACTGAGACAAGATAAACTTCAAGTAGTGCAAATGTGATGGACACTGCACAAGTCTTGTGATCAATTAAACATTAATTCATATGATTAAAAAGGGAAAGAAGAAAAGTTATGAGCTTGTGCAATGAATAACCCAGGATGTGACCTGAGAAATGTTACAAAAGTCATAACAGCTCAATAAAACAGAAAATTTTCGAGTAGACTGAGCAGAAACCAAAAAAAAATGCACTATGTACTTTAGTCCATAATCAAGGAGAAAGCCATGTTGTATTAGAAAACAGTGAGTGACAATGAAGGATGCCTAAATAAGAGCTTGCATTTGGGTGGCTTCACATTATTAAACTGCACAATCATGCTGCTGCTGAGAATTTCCCTGAAAGACTACCACACTTTAAAGGTCGATACAACAGCACTTTACCCATTATTTGGGGGTCTAACCAGTCAACATGTACTTCGATGTAGGGTAAAATTCCTGCTTTTTTTTTTTTGTATATTTTATAATGAAAAGTGTGTTCAATTAGGTGTGGAGTTATTAAAAGTATTATTCAGAGAGATGATGAGGTTGTCGAGGTGGCTTGGTCTTAAAGCTGGAGCAAAATAGGATGACTTGGAGGTGTATAAATCTGTAGTGGAAACCCTCGAGGGGGGGGGGTAGGGGTCATCCTAGATTAGGACCGGAGGGAGGGATGAAAGAAGTTGTGTGTGCAAGGAGCTTGGGCATACAGCAGGTATGTGTGAGCATGTTAGATAGGAGTTGAATGGAGACAAATGATTTTTGTGACTTGAAGAGCTGTTAGGGGGAGCATGTAATATTTTGTTTAGGGATTCAGGGAAACCTGTAAGCTGGACTTGAGTCCGGATGTGGAAAGTACAATGCCTGCACTTTCAAGGAGAGGTTTGGAATACTGGCTGTCGGAGTGACCTCTGAATTGTCATATCTGAGCACCTCTGCAAAGACAGTAATTACGTGTGAATGATGGTTTTAAAATGTTGAATGATGGTGTTTCTTTTTTTTATGGGTCACCCTGCCCTGGTGGGAGATGCCTGAATGTTTAAAAAAGTAAAGTTCATTGAATTTATAATAGTCAATGGCAGAGTAGTAGCCTCTCTGTTTTTCTCTGGCAGGAGAAGACAGTATACCATGTCAAAAACAATCACCAGCTTACCCCACACTAGTTTATTTAATAATAAGTTTTTATTTAGAATTTAGATAAATAACATAACATTTCTAAATCAATAAGCAATGTCATGTACAAAATAAGGTGTCAAAGATTTCCTTTCTTTTGACAAAAGAATTATTTAAAAAAATATACGACTTTTTGTGGGTCCAATTTACTGTCTGAGGGTCTACCATACATGCAGAAATGAGTCATGTTGTTAAAGTTTATAAATAATCATCCCAAAGTACATTTAACAGTGTGTAACCATACTGGAATTGAATCATTAGCTAAAGCAGCCAAGTATCATTTCTGGTATCCTACAATCCATGTTTTAAATAGTACTTGGTAATTAAATCTCTCATTTCTCATGGAAATTTATGTACAGCCTGAGGCTATGACATAAAAAGAAACACATGAGCATATATTTATTACAAATCATTGCTTCTTACTCACCATCAGCAGCTCATCCATGAGTATATTGACACTCAGAGTTCCACCAATATCTGTGAAGGGCAGAAGTGTAAGATACGTGAAGACAGGCAAACCTCTTTGTACTGACAACCATGTACTGTACCATTCTGGCCCCTGTAAATAATATGTACACATTTACATACCCACTTTTAACTTACTGGTTAAACTCAAGTAACTATCTTTTATCTTACTATGACAAAACAGTTAACAAGAAAAACACTGTTTAATACTACATAGGCACGTCGTAATCTTACATATTGCAAGTCAAACTAAGGATCCACTAGGAATATCACGGGCTTCCATAAAAGCATCACACATTACTAAAAACATCTTTCTCCTTAAACTATATGACTATGGCAGTCTCATTTATCAAATATTTCCTATCTGTTTTCCAATCAGCAAAATAATGTACATTACACCAAATCAAAAAGGTTGTACATTAGACCTTCCATTAACAGGGCAGTTATGTTCCTGAAAACAGCATGTAAATAATAAAAATCATGTAAAATGTGCTAAAGAACATATGGGAAAAATAGATTATATTCCTCTGACCCCCTAAATTCCATGGTTATGTTCCTTGTCCCCCAAAATTCCAAACAATTAATTTTTTTTAGGTCTTGTAACTGTAAAAAAATAGAATAATGTAATTGCAGTTGGATGTATGATGTGTTATATTTAATAAATACCTGTAGGTTGGGAGACAGCAACCACCCAGGAGGTACTACCGTCCTGCCCCTGAGTGAAAAAAGAAAGCCTGTAATGTTTTACATGAGGTAATTGCTGGTGTCTTTTTCTGTCCTCATAAATACAAGATTACAGGCTGTCTTCTACTTCTATTACACTTAGGTCACACTACACATACATGACACGTTTTTTTATACCACCACGAGTTTCTTTGATTTTACAAAATAGTTCTTGTCTTATTACTTTTTTTTACATCCATGGGGAAGTGGAAAAAGAACTTTCCTCCGTAAGCCCGTGTTGTAAAAGCAACTAAAATGCCGGAACAATGGCAAAACCCCCTTTTTTCCTGTAAAGAAAAAAAAAAGAATAAAAGAAAAAAAATTGTAAAGGGAATCTAAAATTTGCGGATGTTGTGCAAAGAAAGAAAGAATAATTTTGATGTTAGAATGAGAAGAAACGGATGTCCTGCTTTAAGTGAAACAAAAGCGAAGGGGTGGGAAGTTTCAATGGAAGAAAAGGGTTTAGGTGGGGGGTTTCAAATAGAGTTGAGCAAAGAAGGGTAGCAATAATTTGAAGGTAAGCTATGGCAGGAAAGGAGGGTCTACAAAAGTATAAATTCAAGGATTATGTGGGTAAAATAAAAATTTATGTGAAAAGTGGGTTTTAAAACGTTATGCACCTGGAGAAAAAGAAGGTAGAGGAAGGGGAGAGAGATTCTGGAAAAGTTGGTGAATGCGTGGGGGGTTTTTAATCAAATGTGAGGTAATGGGGTTGGGGGTTTCAATGCAAAGTGGGGAAAAATGTTAGGGGGAGAGTGGTAAAAATTTGGGGGGCCAGGGTAAAAATAAAAGGGGGGCCTTTTAAATTAGCTATTGGTAAAAAAAAAAATTTGGGAATAAGTAAACATAAATTTTTTGAAAAAAAGGAAAATAAATATACACGGTAAATGTAACACTAATGAAAGTAGTTTTTTAATTTTGTATTGGTGGGTAAAAGGTTTATGGGAGGCCCCAGATGTACATGTTTTTAAGGGGCAACTGATAATCGGATCATTTTTTATTGTAGCACGTTAAGTAAGAGAGATGGGAAAAGAGGGAAAGGGGGCAAAACAAGTAGAGGGAGGGGAAAGTTAAAAACTAAGGGGGGGAATTTTCGGGCGACATTAAGCGACATTGGCAGAAAGGTGGGGTAGGCAAAAGAGTATGGGGGGTTGAAGAGGGGTTTGGAAAAGTTTTTAAAAAAGCGTATTTTGAATGGGGGGCGAATTTTTTGGGTATAGGGGGGTGGGGGGAGGGGGAAAAAGGGGGATTGGGGAATATGAAGTAAAGGGGGTGAAAAAAGGGAAAAAGGGGCTTATGGAAAGGTTTTTACAAAGCAGAATGTTATAAAAAGCGAGTTTGGAAGTAAAAGAAAAGGGGAAGAGAGTTTTGAGAGAGTCAAAAGGAAGCAAATAGGTGGGAAGGGACTGTCAAAAATTTTTAAGAAAAAAAAAAAAAAATTTTTTGGAGTTAAACAAGTTAAGAAAGCCTAGGGAAGAAGGATTTTCAGTTAAAAACGAGGGGGAGTTAGTAGAGGGGAGGGGGGATTAAGTAATGGCGAGAATAATTTTTGGAACTTTAAAAATTTTTGGAAGAAAGGGAGGGGGAAATTTCATGCCTGGGCCCGGGGGGTTTAACCCCTTTTAGGAGTGAAGAAGAGCAGAATGAATGTGGGAGTACGTGAGGCAAAAACTAAAGAAGGGGGAAACACGGAACGAGCATCTGACAGAAATGTTAAAAGCGGGGGGGGTATATTGCGGAGTGGTTGGTATTTTTTTTAATAAATTATGAAAGAGGGGGAAATACCTGGGATTGGCGGGGAGCATGTAAAGCCCCTTTATATAAGGGGAAAGGGGACAAAAGAGATTGTAAAAATTATAGAGGAATAAGTTACTGAGTATACCAGGAAAAGTATATGGTAGGGTTATAATGAAAGAATTAGAGGTAAGACAGAATGTAGGATTGCAGATGAGCAGGGAGGCTTCAGAGTGGGTAGGGGATGTGTAGATCAAGTGTTTACATTGAGCATATATGTGAACAGTATTTAGATAAAGGTAGGGAAGTTTTTATTGCATTTATGGATTTAGAAAAGGCATATGATAGAGTGGATAAAGGAGCAATGTGGCAGATGTTGCAAGTATATGGATAAGTGGTAAGTTACTAAATGCTGTTAAGAGTTTTTTATGAGGATAGTGAGGCTCAGGTTAGGGTGTGTAGAAGAGAGGGAGACTACTTCCCGGTAAAAGTAGGTCTTAGACAGGGATGTGTAATGTCACCATGGTTGTTTAATATATTTATAGATGGGGTTGTAAAGGAAGTAAATGCTAGGGTGTTCGGGAGAGGGGTGGGATTAAATTTTGGGAATCAAATTCAAAATGGGAATTGACACAGTTACTTTTTGCTGATGATACTGTGCTTATGGGAGATTCTAAAGAAAACTGCAAAGGTTTAGTGGATGAGTTTGAGAATGTGTGTAAAGGTAGAAGTTGAAAGTGAACATAGAAAAGAGTAAGGTGATGAGGGTATCAAATGATTTAGATAAAGAAAAATTGGATATCAATTGGGGAGGAGGAGTATGGAAGAAGTGAATGTTTTCAGATACTTGGGAGTTGACGATGTCGGTGGATGGATTTATGAAGGATGAGGTTAATCATAGAATTGATGAGGGAAAAAAGGTGAGTGGTGCATTGAGGTATATGTGGAGTCAAAAAACGTTATCTATGGAGGCAAAGAAGGGAATGTATGAAAGTATAGTAGTACCAACACTCTATATGGATGTGAAGCTTGGGTGGTAAATGCAGCAGCGAGGAGACGGTTGGAGGCAGTGGAGATGTCCTGTCTAGGGTAATGTGTGGTGTAAATATATGCAGAAAATTCGGAGTGTGGAAATTAGGAGAAGGTGTGGAGTTAATAAAAGCACTAGTCAGAGGGCTGAAGAGGGGTTGTTGAGGTGGTTTGGTCATTTAGAGAGAATGGATCAAAGTAGAATGACATGGAAAGCATATAAAATCTATAGGGGAAGGAAGGAGGGGTAGGGGTCGTCCTCGAAAGGGTTGAAAGAGGGGTAAAGGAGGTTTTGTGGGCGAGGGCTTGGACTTCCAGCAAGCGTTGCATGAGCGTGTTAGATAGGAGTGAATGGAGACGAATGATACTTGGGACCTGACGATCTGTTGGAGTGTGAGCAGGGTAATATTTAGTGAAGGGATTCAGGGAAACCGGTTATTTTCATATAGTCGGACTTGAGCCCTGGAAATGGGAAGTACAATGCCTGCACTTTAAAGGAGGGGTTTGGGATATTGGCAGTTTGGAGGGATATGTTGTGTATCTTTATACGTATATGCTTCTAAACTGTTGTATTCTGAGCACCTCTGCAAAAACAGTGATAATGTGTGAGTGTGGTGAAAGTGTTGAATGATGATGAAAGTATTTTCTTTTTGGGGATTTTCTTTCTTTTTTGGGTCACCCTGCCTCGGTGGGAGACGACCGACTTGTTGAAAAAAAAAAAAAAAGCTATAAATGTTACAGAAATAACATTTATCTTAAATTCTGGTTCGTGGTTGACAATTTTGAAAGGAGTGGAGAAATTTTGAAAGGAGTGGTGTGGCCTTACTGTGCTGAGGTGGAGGGTTGTGGATCACTGGTTGAGGTGGATGGCAATGCCGAGTTGTCATTAGGTGATAATTGTAATGGAGAACTTAAGTATTTTCTAACATCTCTGGTCTGTTTTAGTCTGCAGTACTTTATGTAGTTGACATGAAGACAACATGAACTGCCCCTTTCTGGGTTCCCTCATATTTTTTATTTGTAAACCTTGGTTCCTTCTCAGAATGCCTATGAAATTTACAAACCCAGGGTGTTGTAACTAGATACTAACATTAGAAAACTTACCAGTGTTGAAAGGTTGAAACGTATCAAGAGGAAGCATCCTCAGTTATTAAAAAGGAAACCAAAACTGGCAATTGTTTACTAACTAGAGAGCACCTGCACATGCCAAAAGCTCCACAAACTTTTCCCTAATTACATTACACCAGAATTAATGCAAGTAAAAGAGAGTAGAGCATACCTGTATCAAAAATGTATCAGTAAAATCACTGGCATGCTTGATTCGAGCAAGAGGTAGAACAGGATAACACCGATGACTTTCAGCACTCAAATCAACATCCAATATTGAAGAATCATCAGGAATGTGAGACAAAATAAGGGGAGATTCATTTGTTATATTAGGCCACACTTCTTCCCAGTCCAGAACTCTTGAGGATTCATGTTGAGATTTACTATAATCTTCACTAGCTGAGACTGTTACAGTTATGTTTATGGGTGTGGCTGTTCCAACAAATTCCATCTCTTGCTTAGATGACACTTCTGTATATTCCGATTTTTTTACATCTCGAACGTGTTGCCTTACCTTCTTGAAAGCACTACCACATTCTGAAACATCACAATGTTACTGCTAATAATACATACAGTAAGTCCCTAAGTTACATATGCCTCGAGCTACAAACATCCTCAATTACATGAAGAATAAGTCAAAATACTCTGGCTTGAGCAACTCACAAATAACCCGCATTTAGAGAGGAAACTATATAATATTTTGGTCCATCCTGGACTATCATCAAGTCATAGCTGGATAATCGACCAAAACATCATCTAAAATTTCCTCTCTACAAAGAACAAAAAGGCACAATACTGTGGTCCAAGTTGGACCGAAACGTCGTCATAAGTTCCTCTCTCCTATGTGCGGGTTATCACTGGTCAACAATTTTTGAAAAGTTGTATGCTTCTTAAAAGAGATTACTTAATTCTTATGTATTTTCATGTCCTGAATCCAAATATCACTTTGAAAAATGCTTAGTGGCTATGGGTTTAAAGATACAAGACAGGAAGTATTTGATTATTTTATTATAACATACAATATGTGTCGGTATGTTTTAAACTCTAATCCATACCTACTGTCTGCCTTTTTGCCTGACACTTATAGTGGGCTGAAGAATCATCTCTTGCCAATGTCAAGTAATAGTCTGCATGCATTCTTGTGCCCCATTTGCCCTGGTACCATTTTTCCATGGTTGAAACATCTTGGTGAAACCTTTCACCAAGTGAGTCCAAAAAGTGGATTTTAAGTGACATGTTACATCCCATGTTACGGAAAACCTTGAGCTATTAGGAGATTCCACTGTTGAAGATGAGAGCCTACCAGCTCTGCCTTTTTTTGGGTAGTTGCAGATCCCTGACAAGGCCACGAAGCACATTCCTCTAGGCCACGAGATGTGGCCTAGAGGAATGTGCTTCATCAAAGTTTTGGTCACTCTGTAATCCAGCACTGTCATCCTTCTCTTTTTCCTCCTCACCACTTTCTTCATCTGACTCGAAGGATACCGAAGTTGGTGTATCAGGAACAGGTAGACCTTCTCCATGTGGAACTGGGCGAATAGCTGATGAAATGTTTGGATATTCAATGGACCTCTTTTATTTCTTTGACAAGCCCTTTTGTACTGGAGTTACCAAGCAGAGATAACAATTGTTGGTATGGTCTGTTGGCTCCCACCATGTCACTGGCATTCCTTTCCTCTTCCTGTTCAACCATGGGCGAAGGTTAGTAGTACAATTGTTGCAGCATATGTTCTTATCCTGGTCACCTATCTTGCATCCAAAATGTAAGTGATATGCCTTTCTAACCATAGCAGTTATACAACACTTCTGTGATCACCTCACCACAAATGTAGCAGAAGTTGTCTGCCCTATTCATACAAGTACGAGGCATTTGAAAGAAGAAAACAACAAACAATTAGAAGATAAACAGAAAATTTATTCATTGATCTATCATTACAATACAGAGCATGACAGCTAAGTAAAAGTATTTATATCATTCAGTAGGAAAATAAAATTAATATAATATGCCTCACATTAGCTTGCTCAGTGAATATTTATTATTAGTTTAAAAAGCATTTGGCTAAGAAAATCACCCACCTTTCACCTCAAAATATAAACCTGCACATCAAACCACCTTCTATGACTGCTGGAATAATAATGAAGGCAGCAAGACTGTGAGTGTGGTAAAAAACACACTGCCGCAAGCCTGTTGGAACCTGTTGTGACATGCAGGTGTATACTGAAAAGTAGAGCTAACAAACAATTTTAACCATGATATTCATTATCTGTAACCTAAAATTAGTTGGAAATTGCTACTCTTGTTTTGGAAGCATTTTGGTTGCTGACCATGAATTTTTGTGTATCATCCTCTATATATGGTTTATTTGAGAACCAATTACATTTTAAAACTACTGATGCACATACATATGTGAAACAATGATTTTTAACTTTTGCTTTCAATGCAAACAAATTTTCATGAAGGTTAAGTGCCAGA